ACAGACACCCTGTCTGCAAAGACTCCCTTTTGTGTTTTGCACACAAGAGTCAAAAATAGAAATACCATATACCAAACTAACCAAAAGGGATTAAAAAAACAAACACAAAACAAATCAACCACAGCTATAGCACAACCAACTCACAAGTGCACGGGCAAAACAACTGTATTGTTGAAACTAAATGATTTGTTTTTGAACTTGTGTTTCTTTTTATTATATCTCTTTGTCAAAATCTGTTGAGATACTCTTACTTATCAAAATTGACCATTGTCAAATGCGTAAAGCAAACTATTAAGAGATGAAATACTCCGAAAATACTTTTGCAGTTGTCAAATCCCATGTGGTGTTTTGACCTCACTATGACCTTTGTTTGCCCTGGTCTATTGGTTGAATTATTGAGTGTCAATTGAAAAGCATCATGCAGCTGAGTGTAGCTGATGGTGGTTTGTGATTGGCTGCCATTCACAGAACATAGATATTCAAATCTATTGCGAACGGAAGGGCATACGTAAGGCAAGCAAGCTGGTGTAGAGTGTTAGCAACAACATTAAACTATAATAGGAGCTCTGTAATGTACCAGTATGAGATAAGACAGCTAAGAGAGCAATACTTACTGCGTTGGCAGGGAATGCTCTCAACATGACAGGAGTGATTCCTTTATAAATGGCAAAGATACCTTCATTTCTTACTAATTCTGTAAAGACACTACGAATACCATTGGGATATTTACCAGCAGGAGCTGAAACAAATCAATTAAATCTAGAAATAGAGTGGTGATATTTCATGAATATACTTTCATCTTAAGTGAACAAACTGCAAAAAAAAGGAGATGAATTCTGATAATTCAGTAGTTTATAATTTTATTGTAGCAGTGCGAACCATAATTTACTATTAAGTTTTTATTTTTGGAGTATTCATGCAAGATTACTTTTGCCAAGCATGCTCCTTGAGCGTCACTTTTTGGTGTAGCAGTAAGTTATTTTGGACACATGGTGACTGAGAATCAGGATAGATAAGTGGAAAAATAATTTAATTGTCTGATACACAAGATATAATATTGTGACCATAATTTAAAGCAAATGCAATTAACAACTGTCAAGAAGAAGAGCCATTTTAGAGCATGAATGGAAAAAAATATGCAAATGAGAGAGCACTCGTCAAACTGATACCCCACCCCAACCCCATGTAGACATTGGCAGGGTGTTTGACATTTAGGGGTCATACATAGGTCACAGAGATGTTTCACATGTGAACTTTTACACTACTGACCTGTTTGAAACCTAGATTTGAGGGTGTCTGGACCAATTGCCACTACCCAATTGAAAATGCCTGCCATACCACCAGCAAATAATATGCTACCAACACTCAAATCAGTGGGTCTGAAACAAAGACAAATAAAAATCTGAATTAGACAAGACAAAAAAGCATGAATCAAGGCCACAGACAAATTTGTCCCAGTAATTCTTTGGGGGGGGGGGGGGGGGGCTGGACTCCATCAAAACATTTTTTTTTTCATTTTTATGTTTACATAGTGACTAGTTTTGATATGACACTTGTATTAGTATTTCGAATTAGAAGCCACTATTCAGTTTACTTGCTTTTTTCCTTCTGGTGTAAGAGTTTTTTTCAGCCACTCATAGGTCATGAAGTAAACACCACTGGCAGGAACATCTAGAATTGCAGAGAATTGTACAGATTAAATCAAAGGATCCAGAATCAAGAGACTAAATGAGAAAATTAGCTAAATACTTGAAAAGTTTAAGAAAATGGTTACCAAAGAACCATGTAACAACTAGGAATAATAGACATATTTAAGAGCTTTACAAGACAAGCTTTATGATAACATCATGCAATCAGTATGCTCTATACTGTACCTCTAAGCAGAGTTGCTAATGTTCCTCTGTAAACACCCTTAAACAAACCGGATTCCCTGTAGATTTGACGGAAACAGTCAACTGGTCCTTTGTATTTAGCTGTGCCTTCAGCTGCTTGGATCTAAAATATACATCAATGACAGTCATTGATTTGTAAATAATAACACATCAATAGCATATTAAGTAGCAACAAATTGATACACTGGGAGATATCACACAACCATCACAACTCAAAATTGACATGACATACGGTAGTTATGCGATAATGAACAAAACGGAAACCAGTCAGCAATTTTGAATCAGTTTTGATTGATGTACAACTTATGCATAAAGTTCTAAAGTTCAGAAAGGCAGAAATGCTTGATTGTCATGGATTTTTACAATTAAAAAGGCTGTGCAGTCCAGAGAAAGATTCATTAAAACAAAACTGCTTCCAGTCGGCCAATATGAATTTAATCTACAAAACAAAGTGGAGCGCATCTAGGTACAGCACATTATTAAGTGTGGGAATACACAAAAAATAGTTTCGCATTTGTCAAAACCCACACAATAAACGTTAAATGGTCTCTTTTGGCTGTTATGGTACCTATCACTACATAATGACTACAAGCAATAATTATGTTACTACGGAAATACTGCAAGGTATGTACTGGGGTAGTACAAGATGAGATATGCTCCCCATACTCAATTTATGCGTACTTAGCAGTAATCTGGTAATACACTGATTAACGGTAACTCCCTGTGATTGCATGTTACCTGAAGAAGACACTTGACTCTCTCCCCGGGAGTCATGATGACTGTGGTGAACACACCTGCCAACATTCCAGCATTGAATAACTGAAGATATCTGATGAAAAAAAAAAAAAAAAACGTAGAAAGTACAGTTGTCAGCCAACTTGTTTCTCACAGCCTAGTACTTTAATTATGAGCAGACTCTGAAAATAGTCTAAACTTACGTCAACTCTTCCCCAGGGTGCTTCTGCTGTAGTTTCTTTCCCACTCCAAAGCCAAAGAAACAGATTGCAAAAATTGGAGCTATTCCCATGATTGGGGCTCCCATTCCTTTGTATAAACCTCGTACACCCTGTGAAGATTCAATAAAGACAGATTGCAACAGATTTAGTCACGATATCATATATTTGTACCACATTCATTCGAATAGAATGATAGAAGTACACATAAACACAAATTTTAGCTACTGTAAAATGACTAATTTTCACTGGGTTTAAATTTCGCTGATTTACCATTTCAGGCATATACAGTGGGTTTTAAATTTAGTTTTATTATTTAGATAATGTGTTCTATGCTAAATTTTACAAATTCACTGGGTTTTAATTTAGCGCATTTTCCAGTCGGCGAAATAAGCAAAATGAAAACCCAGTGAATAATTAATTCTTTTACAGAAAAATGCATTGCATGTTAGATTATTAAATATGACTTATTTTGATTATAGACACACCTTTCATTTAGAGAAGCACATATACTGGTAATGTAGCAACCAGGGCGGATCTAGGATTCTGGAATTGGGGGGGGGGGCGATAAGTTGGCCGGTGGCCAGTTCGCGAAGCCCTTGCAGGGAGTTAAAAATAGGGGGGGCGGCCCCCTCAGCCCCCCTCTAAATCCGCCCCTGGCAACTATGGTAATATTTAATGAAGGCAAGCTTTGGCATCTTATTAAGTCTACTCACATGCATTGTCAGTATAACATCAAACAGAGGATTGTAAGATATTTGAATACACCGTGAGATAATGCAAGATATTGATGACAGTTGGTCACTTTAAATAATTCAACAAATTGTCAGTACTGCTAGTTATTACAAAATTTTAATTACACATGTGTGTCTGTGTGTGTTGAAACCTTACAAATTTTTTTGGGATGAACTAAATACCAAAATTGAGGAGTTCATGATTTCTGATGAAGTATTTGAACAATTTCCTCTATTCACATCGAACACATCGATACAGAGCATGACTGATCACAGAATCTCATCACTGAATGCAAATGTTTGCACAGTGCAAAACAATTTTGTTGAATTTTGAAGTGTTATCTCTCATTTAATTACTTTAATAACTCGATTGTAAATGTAGAAGAAGAAAGCAGGTCTTACTTCATTTCTTATGGTCTTAAGAGCGCAGTCAAAAGTACCTTTATAGAGCACTGACTGGCCTGGTCCCGGTAGTGGCTGTGTCTGTAACCGAACCTGTTTAGAAGAGAGATACAAAAAAAACATACCGTAAAACCATTCATTTTCACTGACATTTAATTTCACTATTTTGATGTTTTAAGCATATTCATTGTGTTTTAATTTTACTAATTTGTCAAGAAAACAATGAGTTTTATTGTTATTTTACATGTTCACATAGATTTAATTTAGTGGATTTTACTTATCAGCAAAAATAGCAGAATTAAAACCCAATGAATAATTAATATATTTAAAGTATGTATTACGGCTATCGTCGTGCCAATAATCATACATACATGTACACATCCAACTAACCATGCAGCCCAAAATTAACATCACTGTAAATCATAAATCATGCGTTTGTTCCTGGTGTTTGTTTTTGAACGCAACAGATCACAGCAACGAGAGAAATACCGGTATATGTAATTATTGAAAACCTGGTGATCCAAAATCTTTACTATGGAATTCTAGTAAGACAGTTATTATGCTCTACCATGTTTGTTTTTTTTTAAATATATTTGAAAAAAATATAATCCAAACAACCAGAGGAAAAAAATTTGAAAGCCAGACTGTCCATGTTCCCACAATATTTTAAGTCTCATTTTTCACATGGAAACTTTCTGGTTACATTTATTAACATTGGTGACAGGGAACAGGGGCGCAGCGCCCTCATGCCATAGCCATGCGCCCTCTTACCCTGCGGAGCAGATTCCCTGGCAACCATAAAATTCCGATTGACCAGGGATCACATGTGGCCACAGTCTTCAACTGTGACCTGTCTGATAGTAATTTTGGCCTCAAGATAGCCATAGAATGCTCCATTTTAACTTAGAATTATCAAAAACTCCACACCCTGGTAGGGAGAAGCCTATCTCCCCCACTTGGTGGCTCCGCTGAATTGCAGTGCTCCCTCTTGCAGTTTGTTTTCTAGAAAAACACCCTGGGTCACATATAATAAATCAATGTTATACCACTTGTAGTGCAGAAATTACAATTACGTAGAAATACACGAGAGATTATTTAATATCATCAAACGTATCATTTCATTTCAGCTACTATACTAGTATGTTATTTGAACTAATTGGGCAAGCCGTTTTTTTCGCTTATTCAAAATAAAGCTATATATATACTATAATCTCTAATCTAAACTATAATCTCCTTGGTGCTTTAAAAGTATACAGTGTACAAGGCAAAACACAATACATGTACATCTGTTTTCAGTAGAAGATTTTAGTTCTCATTAGGACCTCTTATACAGGTGATGAATTTGAGTATAATCTTATCTATGGTAGTTTTGAATGCAGGAAGACCCGTGAGTAAATCACAAAAATACAAATTTGTTATTTAGTTATTTTTAGACACGTGTACATATGGTGCATTAGCATATATATATATATATATAACCGGTATATACTGGTACATTCATTGTTTTATTTATTGAGTACAAAGTTATCAAAAGGTCAATCATTAAATTACTGGGGACAAAAACATCCATGATGGGACAACCACGATGTCCACTACTGTGATTGAATTCTGGCAAGTCACTGAGACTCCTTACATTTAACTAAAAATGTGTCACTTGCAAATGTCATGATTTCCCTGCCCCCTTGAAATAAAAATGTACAGTGCTAGTGCCTTAAACTATTTGATTCACTAAATAGTGTCTTGTAGCTCAGAAATACACATTTATTGTAGCATTCGCTCAAATTTGGTTTTACACAATTGTATTTCAGTGAGCTAATATATACCCGTTGTTATCCCACCACTGATTGACTGAAAGTTAGCTGATTAGGACATGATCTGGAGTGCAAGAACATATTTTGTTGTTGTTACCTAAAATTCTCAGCACAAGCCCCTCGTGATTAAATAGCAATGAAATTGGCAGAAGCTGTCAGAATACTCAGAATTGTATGGTTTTGAATAAAATAAACTTTGTGATCAAAAGAATGGTTATTAATGTATCCCTGAGAATGTAGAAATTTGTATTTGTCCCGTTTGAGGTAAGAAATTGATTATCAAAGTTTCAGAACTTGTGTTTTCTAAAGCGAGGAAGAGAAATGAAAAATTCAGAAAAAGTTAATCGATTTATTTAGTAAGTAATAACTGTGGATTTATGGTATATTCATGCAGTATTGACAATCACAGTCAGCTGTCAAGTGATAATAAAATAAATGCAATATTTACAATAGGAGGGCTGCCATCTTGAATGAGACACGAAACTAAATAAAAAGACAAGTTGTGAACGGAATTTTTCAGATTCCTACAAATCAGAAAAAAAAAATACCAATCTTTCACAGCCGGCTGTTGGGGAATATTATGCCAATCACTAACAAAATTCTACTATATTCATTGTTTATATGTGGAAAAATCAATTGAATGCAAACACCTAATTACAACGAAGAACATAGAACACCAATGTTCCGTTTGTCCAAATCAGTGCAACAGTTCATATTTAAACAGTGGTAACTTCTTGTCATGAAAAAATACAAAAATCCTTGGAAAATAGCATTCTGACTGGTTAATAACCGACGTGAATTGTCAGATGGTCAAAAGGAGTTGCTGCAGGTCAATTCAAGCAGCAAAACATAAAGGCGGAAATTATTTTGTATCAAGAGTTTTCATACAATCTAAACATTCAACAACGAGGATAATGATAAAGCTATTGACTTTTATAGTTTTCCACAAACTAATAATTTTCACACTAAATTTTAATAGTATGTAAATAATATTGTAATAAAATGTGCATATTTTTATTATCATTTCTGTTTCATCATTGTAAAAGTGTTCTGCAATGTTATTTCCCCCAAAAAATTTCTCTCCGAACCTGACACATGGTGAACATAAATTTTTTTGGGAGATAATTTGTCAAGATGGGTGCTCCACTAAGTGTCGACACCTAGAAAACATAACAGATGAATACAGTATTATTCAAATACGTTTATAAACCAACAATTTTTATACCTAAATTATTAATTATTATTAAAATTTCAATTACGGTAGTAAAGTACGCACTAAACTATTATGACATTGATACTGATTATTTAAATATTGACATAGAAACGTAAAGGTCGTCTGTGGTAAAATAGGGACAAGATTCATTTCACAGACTGTAACTTGATTATAGCCACCGACACAAAAAAAAACAATCTGTACCTGTAGTAGTTGATTTTATCAACGGTCTATACCCCCCTGTACACTAACCGGGTCCAATGGAAGCCTATTGGTGTCAGTGAACTCTATTCGCCCTGCAGAGCACAGTACAAGTCGTATCGAAGGACTTTAGGACACTGATTCTACGCTGTCTATTGGACTCAGATGGCAAAATATTACGGATATTATGGCAGTGGTCATTTACGTTGAATTATAGTAACACATATCACGGCACTTTGCACATATACATGTGTGAGGCCGAGCTATTCAAGACACATCAACACCAAAAGGCAACAAACTGGTACGAGCCCGTGCACGGTCGGCGGTGAACAGGTCACGTCGATCGAGAAGGTTTTTTCGTGTTTCCCCTAAAAACCTATTCATAAAATGATGTAGTGTGGTAATAGTTTGTACTTAAAGTGTAACATACCTTGATGGTATCCAGTGGGTGACCGGTAAAAACAAGGCATACACCACCAAAACCACCGGCGAAGAAATTTTTCACAGGACTAATCTCCGCCATGTTTGATACCGGTCCTAATGAGGTACGCCAGCAGCGTTGGCGAATTTAAAACGTTACGTCCACTCTCCACACAGAGGGCGCTCGCTCCCAGTATGCTTCACGTCTGTGAGGAAGTCGCGCGCATGCCGTTTGTATTTTCCCGACATGACAAAGCAGGAGTATTTTTGCACCTCAGTTTTGCTACCGGAAAAATCTATAGACCTCCCGCGCGGGCCCGTTTTAGAAGGTGAAAAACACCACCATTTCCTGCTAAATTTGGAACGCACATGGGATAGCAACGGCATATAGTGACCCCCTGGGCTCCGTATTCAGGATCTGGGATCTTTATCTTCATTAAAGGTCTAATAATCAACGTCTCTGGCAGCGTACTTATCTTATAAGTCTCCTCCCTTTCAGCTCGTACGCTGTCACGGGGTGGGGATCGTTTGGTGAATGTATATCACCACAACTGAGGCGGTGCAGGGAAGAAAAATATACCAGTAACGAATACAATAAATCAAAACAACACAATATATAAGGTTTCAGTCACTTTAATAAATAAATAATTGGGGTGCTGGTCACTGGATTATGTTAATTTACCAGAAGATGTTGCTGTCTGAGGTTCGTGTTATTTTTGATAAATTGGGCAACTGGTATTTGTACATTCAGATTTGTATCACCCATTAATTTTAAAAAATTGTTGTAGTCACTCATATTCGTGAAATTTATAATGTGCTTAGTAGTCTCTTCAAATAATGCTTTCCGCGATTTTTCGTAAAAGGGGCATGCATTCAATCATGAAATGGTACTCATCTTCTACTTTGTTATTTGAACACAGTTCGCAGGTTCTTTTTCCTATTTCAGTTTTTGGTTTGGTGTACCTCCCTGTTTCAATTTTTAGTTTATGGTTGCTCAGACGGAACATACTTAGACATTCACGTAGTTCGGCATTCTTTATTTTGATCACATAATTTTCTAAAGTAAATTCATTTTTGAAATTGTTGTACGTTCTGAGTTTATTTCTTCTGTTATTGTTAATTTCCCTTTTCCAGTATAATTTATATATTTTTTTCAACTTCCAAACCTAATTTCTTGGTTTCTCTGTCGTTCAGTATAGTTGTTGTTTCTGTTCGAACTTAATACAACCCCTAAATAGTTGTAGTGTCCAACCACATTAATTTCTTTACTCTCATAGAATAAGATATTGTTGTCTAATAGACGATTATTTTTATTGAAAACCATTATTTTTGTTTTCTCTGTATTAACATTCAGCTTCCAGTGTTTTGTGTAGTGG